GTATCTGCCCAGGTCACGTCACGTCACCGTCACGTCAGCGTCGCGTCGGACCAAGCCTGTTAGTCCTTCGTCGAAGTCACCGTCACGTCACCGTCACGTCGCGCGACCCATCCGTGGACCATACTCAGAGTCTGACTCATAGCCAGGGGCTCTCATCCATGGGTTGGTGTAACCCCAAGCCCCTGGATGAGGAGGAGGCACCCAGTCATGAGGCAGCCCCCTTTTGCCTGGCTTGCCTCTCTTCTTGTGTGAGGGCATGGCTGTCTCCAAGGTTCTGGAGACACCAGGTCAGTCAAGGTTTACCAGCCATGACAATCATAACATAACATTGACAATTTATTGAAATTATTCTCTTCTTGAACTGACTTCTAATCATTCTTCTTGAACTTACTTCTCTTGTTGGAAATGCCTGGAGTTGAGCCTCAATGGCCACACATCCTGGACAAATCCTGGAGTTTTCAGCTGCAGCCCCACTAAGGAAAGATAAGGGATTATTCCAGGACTCATTTTTGTCTTGAAGTAGTTGAAGCAGCCCCCTTTTGAAGCAGCCCCCAATGCTATCCCAAGATAAAACACTGAAGGTTCAGATGCTCAAAAGTGCGAGCCCGTGAGAGCCTTGATGTAGTCATCCTCAAGTGAGTTGATGTTTTTTGGCCATGTAACTACGGGGAGCTTTCATATAATAGGCCTTTACATGTCAACAAAATGCTCAAGTGAACATGCGGAAAACATTTTAAAAAACATGACTTCCAACAAGGACCTTTGATGCCTTCACACGGTCTACCTTCCGCAAACTAACATCTACCCCGAGAAATTTGACCTCTGGTTTCAACCATGTTCCTCTGCAAGCGAGTTGCTTTTTGCATTACCATCCCTTGGGCGTCACGGCTGCCAAGGTACGCCCTACTAAACCAGGTGTGAATTCCTAGACACTCCGTGGCCACCAATTATATAATAACGGTACCCCTGAACGCACGTTCTGCTTGCTTCTTTTGCTTCTTCTTGCCGCCTGCTATAAGTGAAGTGGTTGGATGTGGGTACTCCCCACCAGTCGTTCTTGTTGGGTCTTTCGCATGCCTCACATAAACCCGGCGCACTCAAAGCTCTAGGCTCTCGCGTTGCTCCAGGCACAAGCTCTCCAGCAAGGCCTGAACAGGAACCGACCATGAAAAGAAAACATCTGCAGCAATTTTTATACTCCCTGATATCGGTATCATTCACCGCCTATTTGGGGCCATGCCGTCCTTTCGGGGGCCATGCCGTCCATGGCCTGCAGGCCCATGAAATCTGTCAGGTCTTCCACACTTCAAAGGCATATACGTGACGCGATCATGGTAAAGCAGCCAACCCCGTCACCTGATCAAAGGAGCCTCTGATGCCATTGGACAGGTGCTTTCCTGGTCCTTTAGTCATTAGTCATTCGATGCCGTTGTCGAACACAAGCTTCCAACACCTTTATCTCCCGACTTCTTGAGGTTCCATGGCATCGTTCTGGGATACCAATTCTGAGTCATTCAAAAGGATGCTGGATGATACCTTTGTTCTTCAGAGTAACCCTTTGAGATGCTGGGTTGAGGTCACTTATACTCGGACTCACTATCATGGAAGTGGAAACCACCCTGTTTGTAGAGGAAGCATCGTCCTCCCAGTTAGGCCATGCCATCCACGTAACCATGTGATGTGTTCGGAGGGTCGTCTAAAGTAGTCGGACCCTGAAAAGGTCGGGTTTTCAGAAGCTGGACGACTTCAGGGTGAGTTTCCTTTCGTTGACATCGTCGATTTGAGCTGCAAGCTGGATGGGAGACGCGGGCTTTTCCCTCGGTGTCGCCGGCGAGGTCGAAGAGGTCGAGTCTTTGGATCAAGGGCTGGTACATCCAGGTACATCTGGCATGTGGTTCTGACTTCTCGGCATGGATGGCATGATAGACACATTTAGAAACATTTAGAGACCATGCCCTTGTGATGTTTGACCCAAAGCAAGTGGGGGGTCACCACAATGGCATCCCAATAACACAAGCATTCTGGCGAGTCTGGCAGGCTGCTTTCAGCCGCCCTGTTCGCTGCACTCTTTTTCGAGCAACGCGCAGCAATTTCTTTGCCGCGATCTCGGCCATGTTTTAACACGAGTCTTGGAACGGAGAAGTGGAAGAAGACCTTCACCACACCCACAACATGTGGGTACAAGATGTTCATTAATATGTGTGTTTCTTTTGTTTTTCTCGGGTGTGCATTTAAAACAAGAACACCAATTGTTCCATACAATTTGGGGTGTGTTTGGCGCAGAAAGTGAGGGGCCTTGGCCTTTAAGGGTTTCAGTTATATTTCACTATTCTCTTCAACCAGGGCGTTGCAGTTGCAGGTGCCCACATACATGTTAACATGATTTGTTGCCCCAGCCCAAATCATCCTTCAAGCGCGTGTGCTTGCTGCCCATCCCCCAAACTGCAAAACACTTGCCTGTCCTTCAAGCACCATGAAACACCTAGCCTGTCAAAACCTAGGGAACATTTGACCTGGTTTTGTATCTCTTCTTCTTCTACTACTACTTCTTCTTCAAATCCAATCATACTCTTCAAGTCCAATCATACATAATATACCTGTACCATAATTAATTACCCATTATACATCCATTTCGCATCCAGGTGCTGCAGGACTTCTTTCAACGATTGCCGTCCCTACTTGCTTCAGATTGCTGTGTAGCCTCCTACGACGGTCTTCGGCGCAGGACTGAGGCAGGGTTCCCGGTTCCTGCTTTTGTCTGGGGAAGGGTTGCAATTGGACTCTGCACTCGGCCCCTGGGCTGCCACCTTTCCAACGGAAACTTCATGTTGAGTAGAAAAGCCTACTAAAAAACGGTATCTCGTTGTCATCATCGCCCTAACAATTGTTTTCAGCTGCAACCGCCACGTATTGGTCTTGATGCTTGAAGCCTGCAACCAGCTTTGGCACAGGTCGATACTAGCTTTTTCACCTAGGAGACTGATACACACCTCAGGCAACGGGTCTTCACCTCAAACTTGGGCAGCCCCAAGATAACCCAGAACTTCCAACTTCCAACGACTCGATTTACCGCACCTGGTAGCCATGGCCCACCAGTAAAAAAATGAGTCAGGACTGGACATTCAGAGTAGTCAAGTCAACCATAAACCCTACAAGTTCGCTACTAGTAACAAGTGCCTTACTAGTAGTATCAAGAAGCTACTAGAAACAAGTGCCTTACTAGTAGTAACAAAAAGGAATTTAATTAGAATTGTAATTACTAGCTTCTTGTTACTACCAGTAAGGCCAGTCTGCAGATTTCACCAGGTCCAGTCTGACCATGTCTGACCCAGTCTGACCCGTTGCCAACGAGGTCCTCGACCTCGACCTGGGGAAAGTAAGCAAGTAAGCCTCAACCGACCTATTGGGACTTGGCCTGCATGTGCTCGAAGACCAAGGCTCCTTAGGATGTCCAGCGTTTTCTTTTTAATAAAGCTTCCCAACCGCCTCCCTACACAAAAAGAATAATGGACGAAAAATCCAGCCAGGGAGTCTCCATGAGTCTCCAAGATAACATATCAAAATACCATAGACTCTGAAAACCCCAACCAGAAACAACAATGCAAAAATTGATGTTTCCCCAGTCCCAAGTACTTCCCATGTATAATCAATATATAAATGGCCATATTGGAACGACAATTTTTTTAAAGATTGTTTGGATTTCCAAGGGCTCATCAAAACATCTCATCTAAAGCGACCCCTTTCGACCACTGGGCCAAGGAAAAAGTTCGCCTGAACAAACACATCCAACGACTCCGTTTCGCCGTTTCCCAGGAAAATACAGGTTTAACCGAACTTTCCGGTTCTTGTTCAATGGGAAACCCATCAAAAAAAGGTTACAGTGGTTTCAGAGTAGATGGCACAGACCCCAAGATGTCCTTTAGATGGGGGTCCATATAAACCACCTCTTGGGGTCTGTGCCATCTACTCTGAAACGTATTGTAAACGCTATCGACTTTTCCTTGATAGGTCCAAGAGTCTCAAAGATCCAATCAGCTGTGATGACCCAGCACCTGGCGGAGTTTATCTAGTCGTTCTTGTTCGGAGTTTCGAAGCTCTAGAAGCGATGTTCACAACTGTTTAGCATGGCCTTCCATTCAATGTGACCTTTAAGTCGTGGTCACCAAAACCCACTGACTCGCCACGCCCACGCCACATCACGCCACTTGCGGGCCGCTTTGCAGCTGCTTCCATTCTGTACATAATAAGAATTATAGAATTAAATATATGTATCTCTATAGTTATCTCTTAAATCTATCTCCATCGCCCTCTTCATGAGATTAGCCACCAAGCTACACCTACATTGGAGTGGTTGCTTTCAGGGGTCCATAATGGTCCATGCCCTAGGGCCCCTGGCCCATCTCCTCAGGTTCGGTGGTATTCGTCCCCCCTAGCACCCACCCCATTCCCCATCTCCTCACCTCAGGTTCGGTGGGCCAGCAGCCCAGACTACGGGATGCATCTATGCATATAATTCTCCAATACATCTCCTTAAGGAGATAATTATATTGTATGTTATAACCTTGTGTTTGTTATAATTGTATAAGTTAATAATAGGTGTTTGCCTCACCAGCTCTGACGTCTCTTTCATCTCGGTTCGTCTCGGTCGGTCTCTTTCTCCGGTCGCTCGGTGATTTTCGGACGTGTTCGGATGGACGGAGAAAGAGCTGGTCATCTGGTTAGACTCCAAATGGTCTGGTTTCGTCTGGTTTCGTCTGGGGTTTTGGGCTTTTGCAGGTCAGCCTGAATTCATCCCTGCGAGTACTTCGCCTGCTTGACATGTTTGAGTATTATGTGCCTTTAGTAGTTAGTCCGGGTCTGCACACGGGGTCTGAACACTTCCGACGACTGTCCCAGTTCCAGCATATACAGTTTTGTTGGATCCAAGCATGTCTATCGGCAATTTGGATCTTGAGGAATCCCTAGGGGGACTGGGGTGGGTGCCAGGGGTGTCTAACTACGCTCCGATGTGGTTGGAGCCCTAGGGAATATGATAGTACTTGGCTTCCTCTATAATTACCTTAGAAAACAGCTATGAACAGTTTTGGATCTTGAGGGTAGGTTGATGGCCCAAAACCCTCCAGGCTATGAGGTCCGTGCCTTGCAGCTTCTCAAGGACTACGTTGGCTTCAGGCAAAGCTTTCACCGGCACTGGGTTTCCATCCAGCAAGAAGCCACACCTGGCCAAGAACACCCAATACATTCAGTAAATGCATGCAAATGCCAAGCATTGCTACATGAAATAGCCGAGGGCCATCTCTCCACCATGTCACGGATGCTTCATTCACATTCAGGAATGTTACACCCCCATCAAACATGATGCAACTTGACCTGGAATCCAGAACTCAACAATGTGGTCCACCACGGTATGGGGTGAAGGACCGCTTGCCGTCCGTGGTTTCTCCAAAGGACGCTGTGACAAGTGAGTTCTGCGATTAAGACATGAACGATGCATATCGGAAAGGCTTCTTTAACACGACTTGATCCCCAAAACCATCCCCTACCAGTCCCAGGGCCAAGTAAAACCTGGTCCTCGCATGTCCTTGCACTCTATTGAGTACGGTCTGTGAACATGCATGACCGGAACCACTGAACTGAGGTCGACCTATAGAATTCCAGAACAATACCTCACACATCCTCACAACAATACCTCACACATCTTCACACACCGAGATCATTGAGATACAGTTCGCTTTCTTCCTAACTTCAACCTTCCCTTCTCTTCTAACCGGCCTCCACGAGTCGCTCTCCCAAGCAACTTCTCACCCACCCAGCGACGGAAACCCGCTCACCGCCCGGACCCGGGCCGGAAGAGGCGTTCGGAGTTGTCCACGGGGCAGTAGGCTTGGGTCAGTTCCGTCCCGCTCGAGATCCTCCGAGGCGAGGCGATCGGCGGGTCCGGGTCGGAAGCGGCGAAGCGCGGCGAAGCGGGCGGCGGGAGAAGTCGGAGAAGTGAGATGAGGAACGGGAACCAAATGGTGAAGCATGTGAAGCTGATGTATACCAGGAGCCGACCTGTTAGGGAACAAAACAACAAAAACCCTCAACAAACGACCTGTTTTGGAGATAAATGTTTTGTGGTGTTTCGTCGAGGATGCTGGAAGAGCTTGCCTAGGCACCAGTTTTGAAGCTCCAACGCACGGCAACTAGGTGGAAAACATGAGGTGCTGCAGGAAGTCTGTGCTGATCGAAGATTGCAGATTGGAGCCATAGGGGGGCCATAGAGAAGCCCACCGCCGAGCCCAAGATTCACGTTTTAGGACTTTATCCTTGCAGCCCGAGCCAGAGATCCCTCGGAAAGGAGAAGGTGGGACCACGGGGGATCTCTCTCTTTCTACGATCTGTGGCCTACCCAGACTATTCTAGACTGACTGTATCGTAGACTCTTGATTCATCTACAAAAACGGTTCGAAAGGAACGCTAGGGATCCACATACCTTCTCCGAAGGTACTTGGGCCCTCCAAGCCTACATAAATAGTCTCCAATATTCTCCAATCACCTAACCTGAGAAGGCACTTGGATCCCTAAAAGAAGACATGAACTGAAGGGGGTGGTGCACGGCGTCCCCCAAATGTCCACCCCTCAAACAGCTGTTGCAGGTGATCCACGGCTACGGTCACCGAAGCCAAGTCATCATATCCAGACACGACCTGTCTGGGAGTGGCACAGGACGGCCGAGAAAAGGCCAAAGGTTGTTGAAAAGGGGTAGGTACTGGGGTAGGTCAATATTCCATACATGGAGTGTTTGGGTAATCCAGAGTCGGTCAGAAGAAAACCACGGCCCCGGCCCCGATATCTTGACTTTGTTGAGGGACCCATCGATCCCCAAACAATGTGGAGACGATCCTGAAAAGACAGAAACATTCAAGTCAGAATCGGGGAATTCTGTTGTCCTAAAGGGACCAAACAGACCCAAACAACGTCCCCCAACACATCGACCGAACACATAAAAATCAGTCCCTTCATCGACCAGTCAAGCAGACCAGGCGACATCGCCGGCCATTTGGGCCAAGATGGGCCAAGTCTCTTTTGACCATCCATGGGTATGAGGCCATAGAACTCCCCAGGCAGGTCGGTCTCCAAGCCTCAGCGCGGTGCGGTGTTCGGCGCAGAACTGCGGCGCGGGCGCAGGACACGGACCTGGCGCCTGTGTATCGCCAGCAAGGCCGCTGGTCGCCCGTGATGCCCGAGCCGTTGGTCTGTCATAGATCAGTGAGTTCAGGAGATGGCCCGAGATGGCACTGGCACCCCAAGATGTGGAGATCGAATTTCCCTAAAGCACAAGTCGTACCGAAACGAAACGAAGGTATGACTGGACCCTCCTGGCTCCCAGCCCCCACCGAACCTCAGAAGGTACGACTGGAGGCCAAACGGGATATAGCACCCAACTGGCGGGGATTGGATTGAGGCCAAACCTAAATCCGACCAAGGCACCTGTGCACATGAGGACAACTCAGCCACGGAAACTTCCCCACTACCAGCTCAACACATCGCTCGGTCGGCGCCGCTTGAGGTCTCTGTCAGCAGCTTGACTTTGACAGCGCACCAGCTGCCCCGGCACTGGAGTCAGACCAAGCTGAACCAACCAAGCTGGCAGATGAGTCTCTGTCACTTCTGACCTGGACCGACGAACACATATTCCCTTCCACCAGTGACGGTGCCAGGCCAAACAGTGCTCGTACAGTGTCTTGGACCCGAACGTGGCCCAGGCGAAAGTGGGGCTGCAAGATGGTGAACATGTGCACTCCTACTAAACCGGAGGAGGACATCTGTACTCCTAAACCAACATGTTCACTCCACTCCAGTACTTGGACTTCTGCAAGCTGGTATGACAGTTTCTTTACAGGTTTCCCTACAAGACGGCCGCCGGGAATTCAGGATATCGATGTGTTCAAGGCATGAGCATGCATGTTTGCACGTTCTGAATCGTGAACTCACATGCAGGGGAGAGGACCTGACGATTGAACCCACGTTTTTCCGACGACGACCCAGAAAAACCGACCTGATACCAGTTGCAGAAGGTCCAAGAAACGGTCATAGACCTCCATGTTCGGTGTCAAACTGGTATTCATCATGTCCTCGCCGCTGAACTCAAAGGATCGGATGCTGGCTGACTGGGTTTTGGGGGGGCCTGGGCAAAGCTGTCTCACTCCGGCTGATCTGGTTGGCTGCTGTGAGGGTGGGTGGGGTCATATGGCTGCTGTGTGGGGTCCCTCAGTGATGAACAAAGGACGTGACCTTGCTAATCTGTATGCCTCCAGCCATTGTCAAACGGCATGTCCCCGTATGAACTCTGTATCAATGATCAACCTGAATGAACCTATGAAACCATGTGTGCAACCGCGCGGTCGCTGATCCCTTGTTGTGCTCAAAGGCTACTTGGCCCGGCTTTGGCAGAATTTTAGAATGTATGAAGAGGGTCTAGCTCTAGCAATCCAAATGGTGGGGATATTCATCAACAGTCAGCATTGTGTGGGAGTGCCTCCCCCAGCAAAACCCAAAGGGATACCGTTTTGAACCTCAAGGGTGGACTATAGGCATACCTTATCACAAGTAAGCATACGCCCCCGCAAACAAGCATTACCTGGCTGGTCTCCCACCTCTGGTCGCGCCAAGCTTCGGCCATAGGCATGAAGCAAAAGCAGGGTGGGGGCCTTGGCTCAGCTCGGATGGACATCAAACAGTTTCATTACTATATTATAAAGGATTTGACACCTGAACTCTTTTGAGTTTGGCTTGAGGTTTGATAGGATTGCGTTGCTGCAAAAAGCGGACAGCTTTTGCATGAAGGGAGGAAGTCCACCTCGATATGGAGTGAACTTGTCAAGTTTGGAGACTGTCCAGTGAACCGGACAATGCATGCGAAATGCGGGGGGAAAACCACTATATAGCCTGGTCTTCGGAGACAGTCGATCCTGGGAGCAAAATTGGTGTCAGTATCAGTCATACATTGGCTATATCCGATTCCCTGTGATGGTAAATAAAGGTCCTAAATCTATAATTATAACAAAACTGTACAAGCCATCAGAACACACCCAAGTCAATCATACATGTATACAACACTAACCCTGAGAATTCAACCACCCAATGGATGTGGTCTTTGCAAACCGTTTGACCTCCGTATCCTCCAAAGCACCACGCAGGCCACATCGTTCTACCGTTGGGTGGTCGGAGGGTGCCGTGACCTCCGAGGGTGCCGTGACCTCCACGAGCCGTTTCGGTCAGCCAAGGAGCCGAAAGACCCGAGTCTGGAGGATGGTCGATGCCTTGGCGTATACGGAACCTGGAGAACATATAAGGTCCTATAGGTTTGGGGAAGATACTTAAGGCTTGGGGGATTTGACCCACATTAAGGTCTGAGGGAAAAGGATGAAAAAGGAAGCAACATCACCTGATCATCAAAACCAGGATGCCCACTTGAAGTCGCTGAAGGACTCACCACAACCATCCTCCTATTCTTCACGGAATCGCGTGAGCAGGGAGTGCGCGCGCGAGGTAGAGAGGAGGAGGGCACATTCGAAGCACCTAGCACTGGGCTGGTTGGCTGGATCGACTGGGTGCTAAGAGAGGCTGAACAGCCCTACCTATAGCCCATCCCACCAGGGTTCTAAGGTCTCTCAACCTCTCTTGGTGGAGAAAAAACACCCCAAACGCCACCGGCACGACCCTCGGTCCTCCCAGTGGCGGCGCAGCACGTCCTGCCAGCCCCGGAGGCGTTGGATCACGGGCAGCGCCTCGCAAAGCTGCAACAGCTTCGGAGACGCCTTGGTGCCCCACAGGTGGTGAAAACCCGCTGCGGAGAGGGGGGAAGAGATTCGCGGACCTGGGGGTGAACGGTGGTGCAAGGTTGCAGTTGAACTTGTTCAAATTTGAAGACCAGGGGGTAAGCAAGACCAGCTAGACCAGGGGTGGAGTGATCACGAGTTCAGTGGACCGAAAAGCCGTCACAGCTAGACCAGGGGTGATGGCCAAAACCCCTTTCCCCCCGCCGACGCATCCGACGATCATTGGATCCTCCGGGGTGACCGACCGGTGGCTGAAGCAGCTCATGCCCGGCTCATTGGACCCTCATGGCTAGGCTTTTTGCTCGTTTTTGTGCATTTTATAGGTTTTTGGACCTCAAACATGTAGCAGTTGGTTGGGGTCCAGGCAGCAACCCGGGGAGAGAAATACATATCGCACTTCTGCCCGGAATCGCCGCCTGGGGATAGAAGGCGGCGAGTTTGGGACGCACGATGAACCTGGAACAGGGAGCTCAAAGGTGCCAGACGTGATCTTTCACGCATCTCCATCCAGCTCCTTGCTGGTACCTCTTGTGAGGGTTTTGGAGAGTTCAAGTGACCGAGAAAAAACCTGACCCCATGTTGGATTACAAGGTGATCTTTTTTCTACCTTAGCATGGGGAAAATTTCATGGAATTTCAGGAATCGTCTTAGTCTAGTCATAGCCTTAGTGACTTATATACCTCTACAATAAGTCAGTCGATACAGGTACTACATACAACTATATAATTAGACCTCGAAAAAACTGGTCCTCAAATGTTGTGGCTGGGATCCACTGCTATAGCTCGTCGACTCTCAAGCCGACCAAACACCAACAAGAACACACATCTATGAGGGCATTGGACAATCTCAGATCCAAGAAGCCTCAAAAAAACCTTCGTCTTCACCGGTGACCTAGGTGACCTAGGATATATTTCATGGTTTTCGGCGCGGCCAAAAGAATGTCTCTTATTCTGCATTGTAGGATGATTGGATCATCCACACAACCGCAGCCAAAATCCAAACTCATGCATCCCTGCCACCCAAGCTGCGTAGGCCACATGATAGTCCCGGAGCACCTCCTCAGAGGGCAGAATCTTGATCCATGGCGCCCAAAAGCTGTCGTCGCACCTGGATCGCCAGACCGGAGAACACCACACCGCCGAAATGTGATGTTTTGAAGGCGTTTTGGTGTGGGTCACGCGTGGAAGACGTAGAGTGGAAAACGCTCAAGCGCGTTTTCCTACAGTAAGTTTTGGTGGATAGATCTGTCATGATCTGTCTGTTTGCCCCAGTTTTGGGGTGGTCTCATGGATCAAGCCCCAGTTTTGGGGTGGTCTCATGGATCAAGCCAAAGCAAAAGGAAAAACCAGGTGATGTCGGTCGGGGGCTTTCTACGCACATACGCTGGTTGACACATTGAGCGACTTACAGATGGTCTCCTGATGGCCCGGGCAGACGTTCGGGTACAGTTGGCGGTGTAAATACACAGCCATTATACGGACCTTGCCGCTGGCGCCGGTACACCTAATGAACCTGCGCACCCAAAGTTCCAAAGGGTTGCTCATGGAAAATGAGGGCGCCCATCACCCACGCACTTCCAACAGAAAAACACGACTTCTCAGCCACCAGTCTCGGAAGGCATGTCTGGCAAACAAAAGTCTCACGGAATCTACCCTAGACTCAATGGATTGAGAGTAGGTGAGGGAATCCCCCAAGAAGGTGGTTCATTTTGGTGCAAAAATGGACCCCACACCTGAGAGTCATCTTTGGGTGCCAGCGCATCCCCTACTCTGAAGCTCTCTGAAGCCACGTGCTGTGACCAACAGCTGCTGTAGTCGGTTGGGCTGGTGGAAACAGTTCTCTCATGAAGGCCTCGCTGGCGCCGGCACCGCGCACCAAGCATCAGTGCGTCAGCATGAACTATGCGCAAGACAAGGTGCCAAAAGCTGAGCGTCTGCATTTCAAGCGGGATGAGCGTCACAACGTAGGCTCTCAAAAGAACGTGCGCTTTTACAATCATTGACAGTCCATGGGGGTTTAACATTATCTAATCCAGTGTATACATCATATGGTTTTCTGCTTCCGCATGCATCCTCATCGGATCTTCTCTTACGGCAACTCATGACCTTCGGCCCGTCATTGGACTGCCATGCCTGGTCTGATTTGACCTAGATGCCACCTGGCAAGGGTGAAAATGACACATCCAGTATCCAGGTGCATTCAGACATAAGTGTGCCCACGCAATGCACCCATGTGCACCCATCTGCATCCATCTACGGCCTTCCAAAAGTCTCCCTTGCAAAAAATTGACTCCATATATAACCAGTCTGACTCTGATACTACGTCTGGTCATTTGAAGGGAGTGGAATTTCACAACCAGGGCAACACTCTTCTTGTATTTTTGGAAATTGTTCATCAACTGCCACACCCAAGAACACAACAATGACCAACCACTTCCCGAAAACCAAAAAAAGAACACGTCCCACCGCACAACGTCATCACCTCGTCCTCGCTCCCTCGTCCGTGACAAACCGCCTGCGCTGTTCCGCCAGCTGCAGAGCGAGGAGGCGCTCTGAGGCGTCAAACATCAAGAGCGACCGTGGCAGGAGAATCGGAACGGTCACCTGGAGCTCCGCGGGAAAACGCCCGTCGTGGGTGAAGCTTCGACCCGTTCACTAGCATACAGTTGCTGTATGTTTGGCGTTGAAGGTGTGGAAGAGTGGCGAGGTTTGGTACGATGCGGCAGGATTTGAGCCCAGAAACCGGGAGTTGTGGAGTGAGTTCGGGCTCGTTTGGGTGAGCAACACCGCTTGAACCAAGGGCGTGCCTTGAGAGGATTCTATAGCACGCCAAAAAAAAACAGCCAAAAGGCAAAGGTTTGGCACAGTTGGAAGATCCAGGTATAGATGTAGGTGTCACATGGTGTCACCACCCAAGGCCACCATGCCGGCTGCCGTGAGCCCCACCTCCTTGGCGGCCACTAAGCTGCGAACGAAGACCCCGCCCTTGTTGAGCCAAGCGATCTTCCTTGGAGCTGAGAAGGGCGATCGATGTCGATCGTGGGGCTTCGATCCTGTGAGAGGAGCCGGTCCTGCGAGAGAATAAAAGGGCTCCTTGCCAAGCTGGAGATCTTTTGAGTGAGATTGAGGCCAAAGACAGTTTGGGATCTGTGAACTTGTTATCTGTGCATACATTGATCCCGATCGCCGATCAGACTCCATACATTGCAACGGGGATTCACATTCACCCCCCAAAAATAGGTGGACAAAATCACACATCACCAACAATCATGGCCCAAGCTCAGGCATGTCTGATCACGTCTGATCGACCTTTGAATGGCTGGCATTGGCTGACGGCACGCAGCGACACGCGCTGCTGGCCCAGCGTCACCTGGTCCAGTCCAATGGCACCTTGCGCGGTGGCCCAGGCGAAGAACTCCTCGGGAAGGGTGCAAAGCGGCAGGAGAGGTTGAGAGACCTGGTCTCGGGAACCATGTAGACTCTTGATTGATTGATCACCTCCCTCTTTACATCGGGAACCTCTTGACATCGGGGGGGTGAATGCATCAAGAGATCTACTCTCCCTGGAATTAACAAGGAAGTGGAAAACCACCTGTTTGTAGTGGAAAATGGTCTTCCTTTCGGGGCCATTCTAACGTAACCATGTTAGTTCCGGGGAGTGTACCTTACGTAGAAGTACCTAACTCTGCACCGATACTTTGACCTGTATTCCGAACGTTCGGAGAGCTAAGGCTTGACTCGACTTCCGCTCCGCAAACCGGAAAAGAGGCCCAACATGTTTCGGCCGATTGTCGGAATGCTCCAGATCTGGCACATCCAGGACAGTCCAACTCACGCACCACCTCGATCTATATATATATATATACCCTAGGGCTCCAACCACCTCCTGAGAAGGTGGTTGGGGTGTGTTTTGGGGGTCTAACCACCTTCTGAGGAGATGGGCCAGGAGCCCTAGGGATAATAAGAGGCAATTCACCCCTTCACCTCTTAGAAGCTCCGTTTGCGAGGTCCGACGCCAAAGGTCCGCTGAGGGGGAACCTAGCACACGGTCAGACCCCCTGCATCCTCAAAGGTGAACATGAGTCCAAACCCAACCAAATGACAATGCAGTGGACCAACCAAATGAGTATAGGCCACCCCAACCCAACTCATTCGAATGAGTCCAAACCCCAACCAAATGGATCTTCGGCCTTGAAACATGGTCCAACATGTCCAAACGCTGGTCCAACATCTCCACATCTTGCACAGGAGAAGAATCTGTATGATCAGTATATGTATATGTCTCATCCATCCTTGTCTTGTTGGATGTTTGAATCCTTGTATTGCATTGGTCATCCTTGGTCAAAGCACCATGCATCCAATCAATCATGACCCATGCTAGCCGTCTCCTTCACCTGACTTCACCACAAAGCTGCCTGAGGCAGCTTAGCTCTCCTCCTCTGCCAAGCCAGCACGAACGACGGATGCATTCTCAGCCTCGGAACGGGCTCATATCCACTTTTCTGGGTAGGATATTATAGCTACATGGGCCCTGAAATCAACCACCCAAGCAAGGACTTGGGGGGTCTATACACTGGTTGCCAGGAAAAAGTCTTTTGGATTTGAGTCCAATAAAATCGATGAATCCCAGATCTGTGACGAGCAATGTGGGCCTAAGTACATCGACTGTTGCAGTGAATCTGATTTAGGCCCGAGGCAAGCCCAAACAAGCACACGCATATTATACTCATACTCCCTATAGTGGTACAGCCAGCACAAGAAGTGAATACACGCGCCACAATGGTATGCCAGGATGGTGCTACAGTAGAAGAACCTCACACAAATAGTTTGGGTAAAAGCAGCTGTGGTAGCCCCAGATGAGTTAACTTCAAAAAGCGTCAAAGCCTCAAATGAGTCCTTGGGGAACGTCTACAACCCCGAACCAAACACTAGAACCCTTAGACTGACCAGCAGGTCTGGCCCTTCGTGGCCATCCATGACGCAGGACCTGGGACCTGCGCTCCGCACATGTTTTGCTGATGGTCCTCCGCCGATGATTGGAAAAGCGTTGAACTGAGAAAAGTGATTCCTCGGGTCCTATTACCAGTAACGGTGGATAATGATGGTTAGGTTGCGGGCCTTTTTCTAAAAGAGTGACAATGGTGTACTGACTGTTACAGGAAATAGGACAAACCCAAGTGATTCCTTTCCTTTTTCCATAGCACTCCCTTTTCCTCCTCGAGCCTCTAGCAAATGTCTATTAGATCGTTTCTTTGCCTCCGGAAGCTGAGGCAGAACTCCTGCCGCACATGAGGGAACTAAACTGAGCCAACCCCAATCAGCTGAGGTTTACTGATTTTTATTCGGATCTACTCATCTACTTGCTCTAGTTGATCCAGTGCCCCAAGCTTTCCGACCACACGCCCCGACAGGGCCCGACAGCTCGAACAAACACTGACCGAGCCCCAGCCCTTGGAATAAGGGCACCCAGCAGCCCCACCTATCCCTATAGGGCTCCTGGCCCACTTCCTGAGAAGGTGTTTGGGCTGGGTCTGCGGGGGTCTAACCCCCTTCGGAGGATATGGTTGGAGCCCTATAGGGTAATACGTGGAACGTAAGGCTGAGGGTGCGGCTGTTCTGCGGTGCTGTCGAGACACAGCGCAGCCGGAAGTCTCTGACACCACCATCGAGCATCACAATGAGCATGTTTTGCAGCTTCACTCCATGGTTCTCCAAAGACTGAACATCGAATCCCTAAACCCTTCATCAACTGGCAACGTCCTTTCATCAACGTGTCAATGGAGCAAACAATCAAATCCATTCGCATATTGATGCAGCACGAGTCTATGGCACACGTGCGAACGCGGTTTTCTCACCGGGGCAAACGAACGTAGCTTGGCTGAGGCGCCTGCAGACGCCGAGAACAAGGGTGTTTCCTGTCCAAGACACCTTCCTAGCCAACAGCTGACTTCTTCAGCTGCCAAACATTCTTTGTGGCTTGAGACAGGAAAATGCTCACTAGACAGCTGGCCGTGAGAGGCAACAAGGCTTGTCGCTTTGCCATCTCGCGAAGATCTTCTCCCTGTTCCAGGGTCCTCCACACAGAACGGCCATCCTTCAAATCAAACCGAGCAAACGTGGACCTAAAAGGGTACTTCGTGCCACCATATCGAGCATCGGGAACCCTAAAGGACCTAGCTGCACAGGCAACGTGGACAATGACATTGTCTTTCTCATGCCATCCAGCATGGTTGCTCAGGTTCAAAATGAACTGAAACAAAGGGGCCTTGGTGTCCATAGGTTCACCTGGCAAAACCGCTCCCTCGCTCACTTCCGCAGCGCCCTTCTTCTTGGGAGACTGCTTCACATAGTCCTGGTGGTACACGAAGCTCCACCTCCCCTTTTCAAGGATGCCCTGCATGTGGTCACAAGGCATCAGCTTGGTGCCGGCATCCACCCACATGTTCGCCGTGGCTGTCCACTTGAGGTGGGAGTTCGAGCCATTGAGCACCTGTCGGATCCAACAGACCGAAAAGGCCATTGACTTCTGAGCACCATAGGTGGGGCAGTCCGAATTGCCTCTGTCATATGTGTCCTTGGCATCTGTGATGGCCACCATGGGAATCACCTCCATCACTTTCAAGGCGTCACGCCTCCCCATGGGAAGTCCCAGGAAGGCTCCAAGCGCTCCTCGGCAGAAAATGCCCATGTCCATGCCTTCCTCCACTCCCATCAGCTCAGCGCCATACGTGGATCGACAGACCCGAGGTAGGCGATGACTTCGAGCATCGATGACATTGAACACGCCTTCCTTGCCGGACATGAGGTCCTGGTCTGCCACAATCACAAAGTAGGCGGACTGGCTATAGTGCTTCTCATGGGGCTCTCCTTCGCTGCCACCGCCCTTGAGAACATTCCCAGGGATGAGTCGGACACGGTCATGATGCCAGCAGTCGCCAAGTTCATCGGCTGGAAGGTCAGCGAGAAGTTTGGTCGCCTCTTGAACTCCTTGACCAGCTGATTTGCTTTGATCAGCGTGCCAACAAGGGGTTTCTCTCCTTGGAGTGTGCTGAGGGCATAGCCTTGGTCAAATCTCACTTGGGCCACCAGCCATTGAAGAGAGCCCAGCACTGCACGAAGTTGCCTTCTCTCTTGTTCCGTCAGCTCAGCCTCCGGAGTCTTTCGCCTGGCCAGGCTGATTTCCATAGGCCTGAGGTTCTCGTGGTAGGCCTGCATGTTAATCACCACGGAGCCGTCGGACTTCATCTGGACTCGCTTGCCACAATAGACAAAGTCATCATACTCCACGCTGCCGAAACCGAGTTCTTGTCCAATCATCAGCAAACTGTTCTGGGCTCGGACATTCCCGCCCAACAGCAGGTCGTCAACGTGGGAGAGGATGATGCCTTCCAAGTTTGTCGGTCTTCCGACCATAAAACCCAGCAAGCATAGTCAAAAACAGTTCGCTCCCAACCGGCGGCCTGTAGAGAACGGTTCAGCCGCAGGTACCATTGGCGAGGAGCATCAGCAAGCCCAAACACCCCTTTTCTGATCTTCGCCAGGGCATTGCCAAAAGGGAGCTTAGGGTCATCACCTCTGACATTCTCAAGGAAAAGCTCTCTTTGACCGTCCACATAGGCATCGCCCTTGAGGAATGCGGACTTGACATCAGCCGACATCAGCCTCCATAACTTCTTCGACTCCTTGCTTGCCCGAGCATAACTCGCAGTGAAGGTGAACAGAAGGTGCTGAGCAACACGAGAGCCGGTCGGCGCATCCTTTCGCAGGCTGTAGGAGAACACGTCCTTGTAGCCAGGTACGATCACCCTGGCCCGAGCCCGAAGAGGGAGAGGATTCTCAGCTGTTCGCAACCCTTCATGCTTGTCAGTGAAGACATAGCGAGGAGTCAATATCTTGCTTCCTTCATGGGCTCCAGCCAATCTTCGTCGGACACGACTTGATTCTTCAGGTGTGAGGATCTCGACTGCATCGTTTTCTTCCCACACCGCCCAGGCTTGTCTGGCCGCTTCCTTGAAGGCCTCTTTCTCCGTCTCAGACATCGTCTTCCAGCGGAACTCCTTCCGGTTGGCTTGCACGGCCAAAACTTCTGCCTCTGTCGAATCACCGGTAGGCCAGTCCAGGCCCAAGTTTTGTCGGGCCTGCCATTCAGAGCGTGATGGCAAAGTCCATTTTCCATGCCAAGTCCCGTGATCCGGAACCATGGCTTCCAGAGGATCTCGTTTGTCCTGCTCGGCCAGGAGGTAGGCTTTTCTCAAGGGATGGAGATCGTCCCGACCTAGTTCATCGGCAATCTCCGTTGGAGTCAGCCGCTCACCAAGGAGCGTGTCATGTGCTGCACCACTTCCACTGGCCGCTGCCGCCGAAGAATGTCCTTGTTCTTGATCTCGTAACTGGTCGATGTCCACATCGGCAGGTCGTTTTTGTCCTGTCTCAGAGCGATCGTCCAGCATCTTTGCCCTTTCTCGCACGGTCTCAAGTGGGAGACCCGAAGACTTCCGGCTGAAAGCCTTCCGTGTAGTTTCTGGAAAAGGAGATTCGGAAAAATCACTCACCCTCCTCGAAGGCAATGTTGAAGCCACCTGGGATGTAACGGGAGAACTGGAGGGAACCATCATCTGCCAGAGCTCCTGTGGTTTCACTGGAGGTAGGTCTTCGCCATCTAACTGGTTCTCTTCGGCAGGCATTGCCTCAGTCGAGGATGGGAGAAATGCTGGAGTCCTAGGATTCACCCCCTCAGCGGTAGTCTCTGGTAGGACAGGTAGAGGTGGTGGTCCAGGCTCCTCAGGAGTGTTTGCATCGGAAAGGGGCTGTCTCAGCGCGACTTCATACTTGGCGTCCTCCACCGCCTCCTTGATGGCTTCGCCCCATGCCCCTGAAGCAATTTGCTCCATCGTCGATGCCACTCGCACATGCTCAAGCGCACATTTTGTGAGTTGACCCTTGTAGGAGAGGAAAGCCGAAGCATGTCCATCCTGAGCCACCATCATGGCGGGTCCATGCCATCGCTTCAAGGTCAACTTCTTCTTGCTTTGCCCGGTCTTGCTGTTGTACCTCAAAGGACGGTAGAAGTAGCAGACCGTTCCAGGCTTGGGAGCATTTTCCACCGTGGATGAACGGGATCTCGCCAGTTCAGCTCGCCTCAAACCTCGAGAGAAATGCAGCCGGGTCATAGCAAGCTTCGCGACTTCACGGAGTGCCACTTGCCGGGCCAAAGAAGGTTTGGACTCAATGAGCCCATGTTCACTGAGGCGTTGTTGCACCCCGCCCAGAACATCGCCCACCATGCGTGGCTGTCGTCCCAAGACTGCCTGATAGGGGGAGCATCCTGACTCACCATCGACATCACCATTGTAGGCCGCCACAGCCTCCCCCAAGGCCATCTCCATCTCATCCTTGGTGACCACACTCTTGGACGTCACGATGGCGGACATCAAGGTTTTCAGCACCCCTCCGGATTTCTCCGCGATGCCGTTCTGCCATGGGGCTTGCACTGCCACATGATGAAGCATGACCGACATAGAGCTAGCCCATTCCTCCATCTCCCAGGAAATGAATTCACGGCCTTGGTCACAAACAAGAACACGAGGAGGGCCGAAGGCGGGAACCCACCGCTTGCTCAGGAACTCAATCACAGCTGCAGTGGACTTGTTAGGCAAAATCTCTGCGGCTTGGTACTTGGTGGCAGCATCGGTGCAGTGAGCGACCACATACTTTTGCTCGCGCCCATCTTCCACCTCCAAAAGGTCGATGTGGACCTGGTCACCAAAATCCTTGGGCGAAGGAAGAGATGCTGGTCTCTTCAACTTTGGTGGAGCTCGCTCCCGGCAAACGTCGCACTTGTGACGCTTGGCAGCCACGATGGCTTCAACAGGGGCTCCAGCAAGAGTCAAGGCGCGTGCCAAGCGACGATTGCTGCGGTGACCTGTGTTCTCGTGGAGTCGTTTGATGGCTGCCTTGATGGCCGCGGGGATGGTCATGTTGGCTTCACTGGGTTGCAGTTGATACTCATCATCTTCATCCTCGCTAACATCATGAACTGCGGGATGTGAATCTTCTTCTTCATTTCCACCGACATCCACGGCCAGCAACTCATAGGCCTTGTGGTCCTTGTCGAACTGGTCCTCGATGCCGCGAACGAAAGCACGGGCTAAGGCCAAGGGGTAAATGCCCGCATGAGCTGTCACCTTTGACCCACCGATCACTTGTGCATGGTCATGGTCACGCCTGCAACACATACCATGAAGTCGCTCCACCACCAAAGGACTAGAGCTCGCCACCACAGTTGCCTTCCGATGCAGTTGTCCGTCCAGATTCATCAACCCAAAACGGCATTGGTCGAAGGCGGCCTCATGAACATCGTTCTCCTCAATGAACTTACGCATCTCGGGCTCTTTCCAAGCAGCCGACGGCTTAGGATTTTCCAAGATGCAATGCCTCTTCTCCTTCAACTGCAACTTCGCCAGCTCCAGAGCAAAGCGCATCAACGTCCGACCATCTTCAAGTCTCTGAGGCCAAGTTTTCTGTCCTCTCGCATTGAGGTGTTGGAGCGGGCTGAAGGGCCCGCAAGGAAACGCCAACACCAAGCAAAAGGGCTTCTCCTTCTGAATCTTCTCCTTGGCGAGGGCTCGATGGTCGGCTCGAAGAAAATTCCACCCCGTCTCCAGGCTCATCGCTTGGCCAACATGATGACCTCTTTGAACAGCCACTTTGGAGACATTCTGGGCGGTCGTGTAGACCTCGGTCAGCAACGGATTGCTCCTCTTCCCAGTCACGGCTTCATTCACATGCACGTCATTGGAGTGCGGGTGGAGGTCAATGTGCTGGAAAAAGGTCTCATCATTCATGAAGTGTTCCATGTCCTGGTAGTACTCCGCCTCAAGGATCTGACGGATCTTGCGAGGCTCCTGAGAGATCCGCTTCCGGTCTGATTCATGTTGAGCCCAGGCCTGAGCAATCAAAGTGGCCTGACCGGGCTTCAACGACTGGTGCAACATGAAGGGGTTCACGGGTCCAAGGCCCTCTGACGGTCCTCTCGAGTCAGCAGATGCAGTGCACTCGTCCCGTAATAGGCCATGAGGTGGTCCTCGTAGGCGTTCTCCAGCGACTGGGCTGCGTCCTCCCGCAGTGACTGATCCACCACCGGGTCCTGAGACATGGAACTGGCGGAGCGGGACCTGCCCAGGGAGGTCAAGTCCACATTGCCCGCTTCCTTCTGCTGATTCTTCAACTCCTGGATCTCGAGTGCCATGCTGTCGAGGGTCGTCTGGAACCGGTTGCGCATGTCGATCAAGTGCTGATAGGAAACCATCCCGGGAGAGGGTTCTGTCACCAGGCCGGCGCTGTATCCCACCGTCCAACCTTGAGCTTTGGAAGGAGCGGCCTTTGCCTTGGACTTCGCCTTGCTTTGTGGCGGCGCAGGCTTCTCTTTCAGCAGGTTGACCATGGGGCGCAGCTTCACCTTGATGGTCTCGACGTTGTCCTCTGCCTTGATCTCCACGTTCAGCAAGGCTGCGAGCTTCAGCAAGTCTCCTCGCAGCGACGGCAGTCCTCCTCGAGGTCCGATCAAGGCTCGAGCCATCTCCTCCTTGTTGCCGGCGGCTTCCGCCTCCTTTGCTTCCTTGAGGGCCTCCTCCATGGCGGCATTCTTCATCTTGTCCCTGAGGCCTTTTGCCGTCTTGCCATGGATCATTCCCATGACCACCGGATCTTCGCAGAAGGAGGTCACAGCGCCCATGCGGTCCCTCCAATGACCGCACTCGGTCAAGTTCTTGTAGACGAACCTGTCCATGGTGTAGGCCAGATCCAAATGCTTCTTGCACCCGTGCCCATCGGCCACCTGCTTTTGGCCTTGCTGCAGCCAGCGATCCGGCGTCCCCGTGGAGGGATAGGGCAACGGCAAGTAGCGCAAGTGCGGCCTTGGCAGCGCCCACAAAAACACTCCTTTGACCGCCCAGAGAAACCTTTCGCGGAGCCTCAGCACGAACCTTCGCCACCGAGTCAGTGACAGGTTCACCATCTTGTTCCCTGAGGTCGAGGCCTCGCTGCCCATCATCTCTGGTAGTAGGGCTCGGAGTCGTCCTGGTAGAAGATGAAGTCGTCGTCAGCAACACATCCACAGGAACTGCGGACATGGAAGGCGCTTGAACCGAGCCAAAACGATCCGAAGACAACATAGTGCTCACGAGTCGACCGGCTTGCATGCTGCTCTCGGTCACAAAATGGTCATGGTTGGTCGTGACCGTCTTCTTGAACAAATTGCCTTTTGTCTTCAACCGACGACGAATGAGCTGCTGAAAAGGAAACTGAACTTCCAAAACACCATCTAAGCCGAGACGTCTCCATCTCTGAGGGTCCAGACCTGGCCAGCGTTCCGGCAGAAGGTGCAAGGCGTAGTGGCCTGCAGCGAGTTGACTGAGGGGGATCTCGGTGCCGTCGGTGAGGTCACAACGCAAGGCTTTGCGAGAAAAATTCATCACCGCTCCGATGGCCTCCAAAAAGTCCCGCCCCAACAAAAGACCCAACGAGCTCACAGGAACCACCGACGTCCAAAAACAAACCACGGTTCCACCAATCATAGTGGGTAACCTCCACCTCTCCTCACTCACCTGGGTGCCCCCATTGCCGAAGCGGAAGGTTTCACGTTCAGGTTCACGACGAACGAGGTCCAACACTTCCGAAGGGGCTGATGTCTCCAAACCACGAAGATAGCCCTTCAACCAGTCAGCCCCCGTGCATGTTCTGTTGCATGCGCTGTCCAAAGCGCCCACCAATCTTTTGTCCAGTGCGAGGCCCAAAGCGTTCACCTCTTTGGGTTCATGGAATTGCTGTACAGTAGACAGGAAGGCGTCGGTGAGGACAGGTGACTCATGTCGGAGCATCATCACTTCATGGTCAGGTGCTGTGATCTCCTCGTGCTCCGTGTTCAGCGCCTCTGCAACTTTCACTTGCTTTGGAGCCACCTTCTTCTTGCGCCCGAGCTGTTGGCCAGGCTTCGAACACTCAGGATCCCCGGCCCAATGACCAGGAAGTCCACAGTCGAAGCAAGGATGCTTTTCTGACTGCTTCTTCAAACTCACCTTGGATGCGGGAGAGCTCGTGGATGATGAAGCAGCCTTGCCATATCAACGGTCCTTTCGAACCTCCTGCAACTTGCTCCTGGCTTCCTTCATGGTCAGGAAGGCCTCAGCTGCAGCCTCAACGCTCTCCTCGATCTCCTGAAGGGTCTCAGGGTCAACTCCCTGAGATGCAGCGGCATCCAACTCAGCCGCCAAGACCTCGGCCTCAGTGGTCAAGACCTCCTCCAAGGAAGGGGGTTCAACCTCCTCCTCAACTCCATCATCATCACCAGCCTCAGCAGTGGCCGGGATCTCCTCCTCAACCTCAGAGACCATGGCCTGTTTCTGGAAAGGCCGGCGGTACGTGGAGCTTGGCGTCACCCTTCCGGAGGAAGCCGTAGAAGAACCCGATCTCAAAGACCGTGCCGCCGAGCTCGTCATTGATGGAGCATAGGAAGAAGCCTTGCTAGCCCCGCTTTGCTGGTTCAAGAAGCGGCTCAACAAAGGGGCCTTCTGGTCCGCATCGCCGGAACGGCGGTAGAGAGGATCAGCTGCATGAAGATCCTTGAACAACCTCAAAACTTCACGCTCTATGGTCGGGTAGTCCTCGGCACCTGCAAGGGCAGTTTCCAGGAGCTGAGTTCGAAGAGGGTCCAAACCAAGCTTTTGCTTGAACCACCAGCCAAGTTCACCGTCATGGATGGTGACTCCTTCAGCTTTCAACTCAGCAACCAAGCCTCTGTAGCGGGTGGCGAACTCAGAGATGCGTTCTCCCGACTTGCGCTTCAGTTCGAGGTAGAAGACATTCCTCAACTCTCCTCTTTTGTCCAAAGAGGATCGACCTGTCATCTCCTCGAGGGCCGTGAGCAGCTTGTTGATCCCACTGAGTGGATCCTCCTCCACCACAACCTCATCATCGCCGGTCTCGGCGTTCGGCATCTTGATCTCCTTCTGGAACTCGAGGTCGCGAGGATCAAATTCCTCTCCACGTTGACGGACCACCCCTGACTGCCGCAAGAGCCAGCGAGCAGCCAGGTTGTATTTCTTCGTGCTTTGGATGTCCAGGCCAGCCAGCCACCAGGACATCTCCTTTCTGAAGCCCCGCCACGTCTGTGGCGAGCCATCCCATGTCGGCACCCTCGTCCAGGCGCCTGCATTGGCATCCTTCTCGTCTGCCATGAAGCCCAGCTCGAAAAAGGAAAAAGGGTCGTGAAACAGCAAAAACTCAATTCCTCTTCACCCCAACCTCCGGTGCTCTGCCAGGACGCTTGTCCAACAAGAGGCCCCCTCCAGCCAGGGCAAATGAACTTGTTCTCAACCACCCGAATCGAAACCTCGTGAACGGCAGCTCACCGGTCTCGAGCTTGAGGGTGACCAAGGGGTCGTGCACAAAGACCTGAAGCAAAGGCCAGCGAGCGGCCGCGCAGCGGCCAAGCAAAAGCTCCCAAAGGTCCTAGAGCGGCAAACCAAAGAGGCTCCGGTGCCACTGATGCAGCACGAGTCTATGGCACACGTGCGAACGCGGTTTTCTCACCGGGGCAAACGAACGTAGCTTGGCTGAGGCGCCTGCAGACGCCGAGAACAAGGGTGTTTCCTGTCCAAGACACCTTCCTAGCCAACAGCTGACTTCTTCACATATGCTACTTGAATTCAACGTTCAGAAAAAAGGTTTGAAAGAGATCCTCCTCTGCATCGCACTTGTGGAACCGTTTTCGAGGTCGGACGACCGTCTTTTTGGTATCTCCCCTTTTTTTTCGCGGTGTGGGAAGCTGCGATCCTGGGGCTGGGACGGACTGGTTGCCAATTTCAATGCAAAGGACAATGTTTTTCATGTTCATGTCTGCAGTCTTTAGATGCTCCTGCTGATTTCTCCTAGTGTCTTGCACTCACTGATCCCGTTTTTCGGCCAAACAATCAGCAAGGGTCACTCCTTGACCCAGCTTTCGGATCGCCCAAAATGACTGAACTTTGGACCCGGACCACCTATACAAAATCTGACTCCCTTCGTTCCCCCTCGTTCAGAACTTACAATGACCTTCTTCTACCTGTCCTGTCCTTGAGTGAGGACACCCAATCCCCCCAAAAGGCTTGAACAAACAAAACAACAAACAACGGCTGCCAGTCCCTGCGACTCGCTGTGTACGGTACGCTGCCGCGGAATGGCTGTCAGTCAGAGATCAAAAAAACAACACGCGGACTCGCCACTCGGATCCCAAACACTCCATAGTATGCCATATATGCCGATCAGTTGGGGTGGTTTTGGGGGTCAATGGAGCGGCAGTCCTATGGCAGTCCCATGGAGTGTCTGGGGATCGGACGTGGCGGTGTCGCCACTCCGATCCCGTCGGAACTTGGAACTTCGAACTCGGTGGCGATGGGACGGCGGGCAGCAGGAAGGAGGGTGAGAGAGCATGTGGTTGACACAAACCATGGACCATGAATCAAACTCAAAAGCACTATTGGCAGATCATCTCCCCGGTGTTTCTCTCTGTATTTTACTCTTTAGTAGCTAGCTAGCTGGTCTTCATAAAGCAAATATGCAACCAACATGTTGGGCCAACCTAGGGGGGTACTATAAAAAGTTGTGTGTGTGTGTTTTTTCCACCTGGATCATAATCTACCCCCTTGTTTACCCCACATGTCGTGGACCAAAACCACCTTGGTGACCTTCTGCCGTCTCGTCTCGCCTTGTTAGCCTTGCCCAGCTCGAGTAAGCGCTCGGGCAATCCCCGGTCCACGGGCAACTCGCCTGGGCAGGGCCGATGTGAACATCGGCGGTGAAGATCATTGGCAGCGAGGTCAAGGCAGCTCGACCGCGTGTGCACGGAAGTCCGCATCGCGAAAGACTATGCGCGTCACGAGATCTGCTGCGATTTCAGGTGGCAGTGGTTGTATGTCCATCCTATGTTTGCTTGGCAATTGTTGTAAAGGTGGAGGGCATGTCACAAATTCACCCATGCTGCCCGGCAAATGAACATAGGACATCATAGGACCCCAAAACCACTGGGTTGGTATGTAAACGGTCTTCCACCGGTCAATTCTCAAGTTCATTCAACGTCCAAATTAGTTTACGGGAGGGCACTTCATGGTATACAAGTGAGAAAAGTACCCCACATCGACCCCAGGATCACTGCAGAAAGCTCCGTCGGATTGGGCGGGCGTCCGCACGTCGGGGCTGGTCGGGCCACTGGGGAATCCATTGGCTCAAGCGACGCAACACCTCACAGAATTGTTTGTGAACACAATTAAGTAAATTGCCGGTATACTCGAACACATATACCACACTCTGTGAGACAAATGATTGGTAATTATAGTGTCTCTTAAGAAAAAACGGATCACACCTGTTCACCAAACTTGGCAGAAGTCCGGCCTTGGCAGTTCCGGCCCATCGACTCCTGGCAATGATCGCTCCAGTGAACCCTGCGAATGGATTTGTTCGCAGCACTGGAGAACATCTATAGGTTGGGTCCCCCTGCCATTAACAGTGGATGCAGGCCTTTCCATCTCTAACATGGTGATTTGCTTGCGGAACCCGACTGTTACAGGTACTAGGACAGTGACAAACCCAATCTATAGGAAAGGTCCAGTTTCCTTGGAAGTCTTCCAGCACCAGCTTGCCTGATCTGGCTTGGGTTCAAGTCATTTGCTTGACTTTGAATAACACAGCCGCCTGGTACACCTCATAGTCCAAAGCTGTGGAACAAAACACATGGAACTTGTTTGTCGAGTCTATCCTATCATTCCCAAATATTCCTGTATAAGCACCCTCCACCAATGTGCTTCTAGAGACGAGTCGAGAACAAGCCAAACAAGAGAACCAGAAAGGGAGAGAACCACAATCCCAAACACTCCATGTACATCTACACACCACATACCGGACCTTCAAAGGGCGGTGAAAAACGGAGATCCACAAGTAGTGTTTTACGTGAGTAGTCTATGGGAGACCCCAGTAGTCTACGGTGCTGGTGCATGGACCGGGCGTCCAGCGTCCAGCGTCCCCGACTGCAGACCGGTCGTGGGTGATCCGCCGCGGCAAGGACCGGCAGCCGAGGAAGGGCATTCCTCAAAGAACGTGGACCTTTTCGTCAAAACATGTCTGGTCAAAGGATCAAGTGAACAAACACCAATTCACTTAAATGAGTTCACACTGTATCTGGCCAAGAATGTAAACTCTTCTCATTAATTAAGGATGAAATGATATTCTTTGATATTCACCCATGGGAAATTGACCATCACCCTTAGTCCGCAAAACCGGGTACACTTCTATTGGCTTTCCACGACTCAGTACTCTTTCACCCCACCCTTGGCCCGATCCACCTCAGTCTACCCGAGTCCGAGACCGATGGCGCGCTGGAGCAAACCAAAAACACATCGTTTTGGAGGTATAGACTTTCCAAATGCTCCATGTATACCCGACATTTGGGGTATAGTTTTTGCCGGGTGCCCAACGTCTTTCTTTCTCCCCTTCCCCCCTCTATCAGTCGACCTCCACCTCCCTTGGCTTGTCGTTCCTGCGCCACAAAGAAGAAAGGAGCAAGCATCTTGGGGAGGTCTGGGCATCTGATAAGGTTGCGGAGGACATCCCCAATCTTGAATCATTCAAACTGAACTACACATGTCTGAGAAAATGGTCCTCTAGATCCCTGCAAAAGCAATAGACATACCGTTCACATTGACGAGTTCCATTCAGTCCCGGAAACTCTGTAGTAGGGGCAAAGCAAGCCACTGATGAGGAAGAACTCAAGAATCATTGCATGGGATTGATTTGCGATCCATTCGAGACCTCCCCCGAGACAGGCGGATGGAGAACGCCATTCCAAGGCGGTACATATAGAGTTAAATTGAGCTCATGCATGTAGTGCTCACCCTCACTATCCCAAAAGGGTAACAACTGCCCTCTCAACACTTCGTGTCCTGGCAATCTTGTCCCGATCTCCACAGCTTAACCAGCTTCACCTTCTGTGTTTCAGAACCTAAATGATGTCCAACCACAAACTCACCTAGAACGGCGACGCGTCTCTTGCCTTGGAGCTTCGGGGAAGCTTCGGCCGCGCCGGTCATTAATGACTATAGGTTGTTCTCTGCCCCAATCACGGCTATCCGGGAATGGCAGGTCCCCCAAACACGGCCCGTTTTGGGTTCTGGCAAGTGCTCCAGGCCGATTTTTTGGGGTGGGTTGATTTCAGGCCCAAACACTCCATGTATGCCATATATGCCTACATTGACCCCCAAAACCACCCCACCTGATCGGCAGTCCTATGGCGGTCCCATAGGTCGTGTCTGGGAGGGGTCCGTAAGCTCAATGCATGTCTATATGGTCTCATGATTTGAGGGTGATGGGGTTTGTCTGAGCCTACCTTCTGAAACGATCAAAACATCGGATGGTTCTCACCGGTCCTTCTCGCCAACTCAGCCTTGGCAGCCCGGAGCTCCTGTAGATAGGTGTCAAGTCCTGTGTTCAGTGTAGTTATAGGGTACAGTATTGGGTCTATCCTATCATTAGCAGTGGATGATGATGGTTAGTAAAGGTCTATCTCTAACATAGTGATGTTCTTGTCTACTGACCGTTACGGGTGATAGGACAAAACCTAATTAGGTATATCAAGTCCTGTGTTCAGAAAGCGGTGGATGATAGCTACTGAGTTGAACCTGTTATTTTGCCCCAGCCAGGTTGGTTCTAGCTGGTTCTAGCTTCGCGAAATAACCCAACAGCCCCAAACTATTCTGCATGGTTGATGAACATATTCAGGAAAACAAATCTTGGCCTGGGCTGCAAAGGGGGTTGTTTGATTTCCTGCCTGAGCTGAGCTGAAAACAAGTTATCGTTGAATTAATTTGCTTTAGTCCGTTTGGGTACAACTCCCATGCGTTGGACTGAACATACCCATCTTCGAAGCATAGATCTTGAATGATCATGAAGGTCCAAATCCCCGTGGCCAACCACGATACTCCCCACCCCAAACACTCCGTGTATGGAATATATGATATCTGATATGCCTACATACCCCAATGTTGGCAAATATGCAAGTACCATGAAGTGTCTTGGCACTGATCTGGGGAGACCATCTCTCCAAAACTGTTGGCACATTGCATAAACTGGCCCCTCTGTGTTTATGAAGTTCTTGTGAACTGTATGAACATGCCCATCTTCCCTGTCCAACGACAGGTTGAAGATGTTGAAATTTCCGCTGAAGGGCCTCCCAAACCCGCGGAACGTGCGTTGCGCAGGTTTGGGTCTTCAACGTCCACATGCGCCGATTCGCCACCATCCACCGCGTCGTCCCTCCTCTTGAAGGAGGCTGAGCTGCTGCTGCGTTGCCTCGACACGCGGACGAGAAGAATCGAGAATCGGCAGCAGAGATCCCTGAGGTCTGTCCAGCTCATTCCTAGGTGTCTCGGCACGAAGCCGACCCAAGATCGGTGCCGCGACCGGTTTTTACTACCAGAGAAGGTGAAAAAGGTGACATCAGCTCCGCATGGCGCGGCCCTTTTTTGACCTACATATTTTAGCTTTTAAACTCTTAAACCGAACTATATATAGGAGTTTCTAGCTATGTCGGGTTAAGGGGTTAGAATCAAATTGGAAAACACTTCGTGCTTAAAACCACTCAAGGACCAGTAAGAGTCTGGTTGACGTGGACCAGATCGCCGGCTGGTGGCGCACAAAAAGAACAGCCTCGCACCCACCAGAATGAGAGGCCTTCGCCCAAAGCTGGTTGGGGGTGGAAACGGCTGGAGCAAACAAACAAATCCAAGACCTTTCCCACCGGAAGGTTCCGGTGATGATTGGACATGAAAACGACGATGTCTATGTCAATAAGCCAGCCACAGCAACGGAATGTAATGGTTTGTCGAAAGTGGTGTTCCGGAAAGGGTATATAGATATTGGGTAAATCCTAATCCTTGTAACAGTGGATGATGATGATGATGATGATGATGATGATGAGTAAAGGCCGTGTTCAAAGATATAGCGATCATTGTTTCCCCGACTCTTGCAGGTCATGGGACATGTATAAGATCGCATAAATGCCATGTGGCTTGGTCCCCGATCTAGTAGGTTCATCTGGCTACAGAAAAGGGCCCAAGAGTGCTGCAGGGCTCGGCCCAAGCATGGCGCCTGCATTTCTTGCTCTCGGTCTCTCATGCGGGCACGAAGGTCCTGTACCCGGGCCGAAGCGGGTTGGGAAGAGGTGAGACATGGCACTGGAGTGCCCAAGCACTTCCTATCCAAGAGAGGTAGCCATAGTGACCGTATAGTTAGGACCCGTCACCTGAATTACCCAATTGGGATAGTCGAACGTTCGGGTCATTGAACCTCTGTTGGTTTAGCTGGGGTCCATATACTGTATATATTTGTGCCACCTACTGAGTGAAAGCACTGAACATCTCTGCACCCTCATTGCTATCTCATTCCTTGCAACTGCGGCAGCAAATGATGGATCTGCCAAGGTGGGCAAGCGGCATAAATGGCTCGGGGGAGTCCAAATACTTTTTGAGGGTGGGGTGCGAGCCCTATAGATGTACCTTCCTGCAGATGAACATGAACCCCCAAAAACACTGGGTTGGTCTTCGGAAACTGGTCGTAATCTATGCGCAGGGCGGCGTATGCGTGTCTCGCATGTCACACGCAGGTGAGGACGACTGACGAAGGGGAAGAGTTTGGTGTTGAAGCCGAGAGCCACGAGCCCAAATGAATTTTGCTGAATTGGGTCAAAAGAATCCTGCCCAATGACATGAGGAATGATCTGCCACAAGACCAGGAAAGATCTGTCGCAGCATGGCCAATCCTGATCAAAGACCCAAATGCTTGGCCACACCAGCAGTTCCAAAGAGGTGCCTATTGGAAGAAAAACAACACTATATGGGTGCGTTTCTCGCACTCTCTCACTTTTGGGACTAACTTGAGGGGGATAGCTAGGTAGCTACCTTTCGTGCAAACCACCCCTTTCGAACCCCTCTGGCAGGTTGCGCTCGGTCTCCCGCCTCAACGGTGCGGGGGGGATTGTTCGAAAGGGGTGGGAAGTCTTCTGCATGGCTACTCCAAGGGAGCAAGAACATGAAACAAACCTAAGCTGATCTAAGCTGATCAGACTGGAATGGCACTTGGAACCTCCATTTTGGGCCTATACTGGAGCAATGGATGCTAGAGTGGTATACTTGTAACTGGGATTCACTTGCCCAGGTGCAGAAAACCACTCCTCGATGTGACGCTGGTGCTCCTGGCATGCTGGCCGGTTGATGGACATAGTATATATAGACATGATGCAGAAAACCACGGTGATTGCCGTATGGTAGATAGTAGCAGTAGCAGGAGCAGCAGCAGCAGCAGCAGCAGTAGTAGTAGGTGGTGGTGGTGGTGGTGGTTGTTGGGATGCGACATCAAGGTGCTTCCAGGTCCTCACCCGTGCGAGAATCCTGTAGGCTCGCAGAAATCTGAACATCTGCATGCAAAGCAACCAGATTTCTGCGCGAAACAGGCGGATTGCCAAACTTGGTTTCTTCTCCCGGGCCACGAAAAATGTTTCACACTCCACCCGCATGGCACTGAAATGGATCAAACGCTTGATTTCGTGTTTATGTATTCCTTACAAGACAGTAGTGCTATCTGTGCTGCCTTCGCTGTAATTAGGTGCCAAATAGCATTAAATAGCATGACTGGTGATCAGGCGCAGAATAGACACATCCGGCCAACCAGCAACCCAAAATAAACATCCCGATGTCCGAAGACTATATTCGGCACCATGCAGGTGATTCCTGCCTCTCTTCACTTCCATGACCTGCCCATCGCCCCCACCAAGAAGGTCAGCTGACCCCAGACCCGCTGACCCACTCGACCGTCACTCGCTCGCCTCCCGAAGCTCATCCACCTCCGTGAGACCATACTCGGTCCAGGGGTCCTTCCTGGCGGTTCCGCCCCACCCACCCGGGTCGCTGTGGCGTGGCGCGTGCGGTCGGTGCACCGGACGGGGGGCATTCGGGACGGCCACGCCGGGACCGTCGTTTTCGACACTCCTCGACTCCTCTCAGGACGTTCTCCGGGGGCCTCCGGAAAGCTGGAGGTCCAGGAGTGGATGTCACGTGTGTTACACCTTCTTTGGAGCTCGTAACATGGGGCGTGTGGGGGTGGGGAAGCCCATGGCCCCGAGTGAAGAGCCTGAAATCCCAAGACACAAAGGGTGTGAACTACACTATTATATATATGACTTTGGGGAGAGTGCACAGTCCCTGAAATCATGAAAGCGGAGTTCACACAGGAGTTCACCGACTGTTTTGGTATTGGGAAACATGGTCATCCGAACTCGGGGGCCATTTTCCACTTTAGATTGTTTCAGGTGCATCCAGTCTGACCCCTGAAAGCACCCCAACTGGTATTGGCCATGTAGACTATACATGACTATACGACGTACCTCAATCAAACCCCCACCTATTCCAATGTAAACCCACCTCTCACTATAGGCGTTCCAGTCCTTTCAGCGACATCCCATCCTGCTACGCCCCGTCGCTCGTCCCATCCCTCGCGCCACCCGACCGCGCTTCCGCCCGCTTCGCCCCCCGTCGCGGGGCGTACCATCGGTCGACCTGGAGTTTGGGATCGCTGCGCACCTGGCGTTGTTCGGTTCGGTCCGGTCAGGCGCCGTGGGTTCCGAGGGGTCCGTGGGCGGTTCGTGGGCCTTTAAGTGGAGATGTTGAGGGCATAACGGGCTGAAAAGAGAAGTTGCAGTGGCAGGTACCAGGACCTGACTGAACACCACCTGCGATGTTTTAAGTCAAAAGCCTCCATTTCGGAGACCTGTTGGAAGGTGCTGGTACTTATTAATCTTATTAAGACTCATCATCATTAGATTCTAAGATCCCGTCAATAGAGACACACCAGTCTGAGCCGAAATTCAGCTGAGCCCCTAGGCTTATAGGACAATAAATGCAGTGATTTCTGGAAGCTCTGTCAGACCCAAACGATCCAATTCACCATCGAACACCACCCAAACACAGGCCCATACCAAGTTTCTGACCTTACAGGTAAAGCACAGCCTGTCACCTGTCCATACCTGTCCATTCTGCGCATGTTTTCTGGAAAGGCGTTGCGGGGGTCATATGAGTCAGACCATTCCCCCATCACGCTGCATGCCTGGATCAAGCGATCTGTTTTTCAGCTGCCAGACTTGTCTCGTTCCGGCATTGGTTTCCGGTGAGATTGGATATATAGGTATTATGGTATACTTAGAAGTGGACCAACTGTTTGAAGGAGCACGCGGGAGGTCGCACGTGCCATGACGACTTGCCCATATACCGAATCCCCAAATCCGAATCCGGGGAGGCACGATGGGCTGACAGGAAAAACGGTCGGATCGGGGAAGGGCGGTCGGCGCATGGACATCCCTCTTCCCCAGAACCTCTGGGGCAGTCTTTCAATGCCAAAGGCCGGCGACTTGCCACGGTGGGCGGTCTCCTCGTATTTTGAGGGTTGGGAAAAGCTGGCAAAGCCGGTCAAACCGGTGACAACGTGAGGGTGCTGGTATGTGCTGGCGATCGAATGCCTGGCCGGCCATTGGACCGTTGGAAGCTTTGATGATGGAGGAGCATATGGGAAGATGTGCATCCAAAGAGAGAGAACAACACTGTAGTTCCCTAGGGCTCCAACCATATCCTCAGGTTCGGTGGTTAGACCCCCGAAACCCACCCCAACCACCGAACCTCAGGAGGTGGGCCAGGAGCCCTGGGGGTTCACTCGTCCCCAGGTGTGATCCCGCTAAGGCAGCGCCCAAGAAGTACAAGCACATGAACCCTGAGGACCCCCTCAAACATCCATGACTATAGGACTATAGGAACCCCTGTCAACCCCAGGGCTCCAAATGCCTGAGGTGCTGCTTCGGGTGGGGTTGGAGGGTCTGGCTTCACCTTGCATGTACCCAATCTCACCTTGCGCAGAAGACTTCTTGGTGAAAATGCCCACTCCGTGTCGCGCGGTGTGCGAGGTGCGCCGCCGCCAGTGTGAAATTTGAGCAGGCGAGGGAGCAACCAGCAGTGTCAAATAGATGTTCTTGTGAAATGGTTTGATGCCAGGATCGCATTGGTCTATGAGGCTGTGGATCGGGGTCATCTACACTATGAATCTATGAAACCTATTGGAACACCTGGACCAAGATCCCAAAGGCACATGGCGGCAAATGGATGCAAAGCTCGCTGACAGTCAAGAACGCCAAGCCTCCCCAGGTCTCCCCAACTTGAATTTGCTGAAGGAGCTGTGGTACTCAAATCCGGCACTCCCTGGAACTAACATGGTTACGTGGATGGCCTGACCCCGAGTTCGGTAGACCATGAAATCCACGAACCAAACAGGTGGTGGTTTTCCACTTCCATGTGAGTTCTAGGGACGACCCTTCCCGGAGCTTTGGAGACGGCACATCACGTGACTCACGGCCCAAGGCGAGGCGAAAGAACGGGAGGGAGGAAAGAGTTCCCGCGTCGGGAGGCGGGAAGAAGACATCGGTCAAACCAAGCAATGAAGCCAAAAACACACCCACCAATGAGATCTATGCGAACCAATTTCTAAGGTCTGGTCCAGGGTACATGCATTTTGAGCCAGAAATCCGGGAAAAAGATGGAAAAAGAACATCAACAGTGTGGCGTTTGGACTCTCAAGGGGCTTGTGAACAGGATGTTGAGAAAAGGTTACCCACTTTTCCTCGATAGACTCTGGAGTCTGGAGGGCAGCGAACATATTCGCCCATCTTCAGGCCAAGCAATTCTTGAGCAAGGACGCTACTAGCGGCTCCTGGCCTTACTGGGAGCAAGAAGCTACTAGGAGCTAAGGGCATCGCTACGAACGGAGCGATCGGACGCTACCCTTGCTGAAGCGCAATCCTTCGAGATCCAAATCCTCTACATCTTCAGCCCCAAGGAGGCGCCACGGCGACACGGTGCGGTCCACGGACCACCCCAGATTTGGGCGCGGTCCATGGGGACCATACGGCTTTAAGCAATGAATCTCAGTCACCACCCTGTGGACAGTTGCGGACCAGCTCTGTCAGAATCCAACCCTGTTAGTTGAGTAAGTTGACCAAGTCTTAAGGCACTTAAGAAAGGCTGGATTGCTTGCAATTTCCTACCTCCAGCGCCTGTCCAAGCGCCTTTACCAAAGTGATGTTCCTCTTCTCCGGGCGGCTGACGTCATCCATATGGAAAACTGTTCTTCTATGGCTGGGTCGAAAAACCCAAGCAGCTCTGCTTGGCAGTGCTGGGAAAACATAATTCTGCACGCACAGGAAATCCGCACGGTTAGAAGCAACCCTGCCGCCACGCCAGCGGCTGGTGCGTTGTTATACCCATGCAAAAGGCCGACCCTCAGTCGTGTGCGGTGTTGCAGGTGGGGCATTTGCCGGTTGAGGTGTGACCATGTTCAACCGCAAACGCCGGGATGGCCTCTCTCCCGCTGGAACACAAGTGGAGCCAAGGCTGAATCCTGCTTCTTCACCGGCAAACATGACCACAAAAAAGTAAAGGCTTTCTACCAAGGGACTGCACCAGCGACTTCACAACTAAACCACGCCGGCTTGACATGTTGACTGTCGGTGGGGCGGAAAAAAAACTACTTTCAGGATTTTGGAGCGCTGAACAGGCAGGGAAGGAGTATGTTGGAGGAATCCCCTTACATACTTTCCGAAGAAGTAGTAGTTGAACCCCTAGAGATGAATTGTTTGCCTTTCAGGAGCTACGAAACCCTAGGGAAAAAACAACCTCTTTCCGAAAACCAGTGTTTTGGCATACAAGACTCCAAACACCCAGTTTTTTGTGAAAAACATGGTTTCTCATGTTCAGAACCCGTTTTTTATCCTGCGCAAAACACGTAATTTACCAGTAAAAGACCATATTTTAGTTGCAAAGACCCTACATGCCGTTTCTAAGTTTTGGATGGTCTTGGTCGGCAAAGTTTGTTACACCGAGGGTCAGGTTGGTAGTGGCTTGGAGTGAGCCTCATTGATCCTTTGCGCTAGGTTCCTTCGGACTTACACCAAATATGTCTAAATCTGAGTATATACTTAGCTGAGAACGCTCGCAAATATGGGGTCTTGAACGCGTTCCAAAATCGACCATGATGTCAGTGTCCAACAATTGAGCTAGATTCATCTGTAGGGTCCTCCTATTCTGACACCCTCAGCAATTTTTTGTGGAAAGAAACGGCTAACCTTTTTCCACCTGTTGGGTGTCAGTAGGAAAACCAATCCTGAAAAAAGAACAAAAAACACACACAAAACACCGTTACCAGCACCTTCCAACAGGTCTCCTCTGGAGGCTTTTGTAGACTTAAAAGTCGCAGGTGGTGACCTGTTGGAAGGTCCTGGTACATAAAGGTTATCCACTGACCGGGTATCTCTGCTGCATCCACTCTTCAGCATCTCTCCACTCCTCTCCAGACACGCCAGTAACTTGGCTCCCTTTGGGAGCCAACCAGGGGGAGCCACCCAATACGAAGGCACAGGAGTCCCCAACCCTTTCAATATCTGTCAATATGAATCCCCTGACTGTGCCTGTCATGTTCCGAAATGCTTAGGCTCAACCACCTGTGGGATCAAAACCATCATAAATCACCATAAATCAAGATCTTTGCGGATTTGCATGTTTAAGCAGTAGTCCCAGAAATCACGGGCATCTTGCCTGTCCTGCCCGCCATCGCCCGTGATGACTGCTATCAACGGCTACCAACACCTTTCACATACAATGGCATACGGGGCATACCGTTTTAGGATAGCTATACTGTACCTGGTACCCATGAAGACTGATAATTATCACTCCAAATGGAAATA